CTACTTGGTGCATTTTGCATAACCTTCTTAAAAATAAACGTGAGTGCTTAGGGAATGGATTTATGGCAAATCTCCCAACTGCTCTTTCTCCATGTCTCCATGTTCCTCTCGAATACAGGTAAACGTGCCTGTGTAGCAGATACAGTCTCTTATCTGTACAGCCATTTTTTCATCTGAAGGTTCTCACAAAAAAAAAAAAAAAAAAAAAAAAAAAAAAAAAAAAGACGAGCAGCTGTTGTCAACTTCCTCATCTACTCATAGCACATTTCCTGCCTGGGGTCAAATCGCTTCTGAGAAAGGGGAAATCAGAAATCAGCGACAGGCCAGATGCAATGGGATAACGATAACAAGACCTCACTGAGAGGCTCCCCACAATACCAGAGCTCTCTTTTTTTCTTAAATATTCGTGTACCATGTCTTTTACGATGCACTTCATACTACTGCAGGTTGACTAATGGCTGAGGATATTAATTGAACCGAGGTAGACAAACAATACTGGTACATTTACTCTCCTTCCCCCGCCCTCTGTTTGCAGCTCTATAAAAGTGAATACACTTTACACTCTCATTTTTATTTTTAAGCTCTATGCAGCAGTTGCCATCTGGAGCAAAATTCAGGGAGGGAGGAAGGGAGAAAAGACAGGTCAGACAATAACAAATTGAGCTTGTACTACGCGTGTGTTGTACTAAAAAAAAGTCACGTCACACACAGCGTAGTACTGATTAATGAGAAGCATCACGTGGATCCAGACCCTCCAAGAGCTGAAATTATAAAGATGGGCTATGCTTGATTTAAATAGCACGCTACTGTTCTGGATGGCCTCAAAGCAGTAGAGGAAGCAATAGGACATAAAGGATTGTGACAGGCAGCAAAGTGGTGTGTGACACCCAAGCGAGGCCACCATAAAGAGCCAGCGGTGGCTTAGGAAGGGGATATATTCATACACCTTCTGTGATAACAAACTCATTCTGCAGTTTTCTAGCCAAGGGGGTTTAACAGCACACATTCAAACAGCGGTAGATCAAGCAAAGCTGAAATACCTGAAAAATACTTTAATGCCAAATAACACAAGAAAACCAACAAGCTCCTGCAATAAGGCCACCAGAGCACGGCACTGCTTTTGCAAGGGGTCGGAGGTGAGGAGAAACCTTGCCCTTTACTCATAAACCCAGCAGGTTCCGTGGAAATGACAGGTAAGTACCAAGCTCTTTGTAGAACAACAAACATGGGTTCCTGAGCTGCTCGGAGGAGCCTTTTGATATCCATACACTCACTCCTTCCCTCCCCATCCCCAGATTTGAACCTCCCAGCCCTCCTTAACTGAAGATTTTAATCTTTGTTTGATTCATTAATAAACTGATTATGTAGCAAATCAGACCACAAACCGGCCAAGGTCTAAATGAAACTTTTTGCCAGTACCTGACTTCCTGCTGTTATTTATAATCCCCAAATAACCCTTTGCTTGAACCCCCTGTCGCAGGCAGTGACTCAGCAGTCGCAGGACTCCTATTAGCATTCTCAGAGCATTTCAGGGCGTTTTCAATGGACTGTCTCACTTGTGCTGTGATCAGACCTATCAGTTTGTGGTGAACTGCTCTGAGGAAGGTTACAGGTCTCCATAGGGACTGCACATGATCTTTGAAAAGTGCATTTCCCTCTAGCAAGTCATAAACGCTCAGGAGAGTTGCTAAAGATCACTCCAAATATTTTATTGAATACTTTGATGTTGTACTCTCATTCTGTGTTATCATATACTTAAAGTATATTAAAAGGTTCCCTAAATACCAAGTACATTTGTGTGGAATAGATTTGTGTTTTTCAAAGCCAGAAGAAAATATCTTTGTATCGTTACAGGATAAGCAACACTTTTCCTGCAATTCTGCAGAATGGATTTTAAGTGTTTGACAGTGCCTTTTTTTTTTTTTTTTTAATTTTAATTATTTATTTATTTATTTATTTATTATTTCTTCCCCCCCAACTACAATGACTGTTGTGATAGACTTTAGTTAACTTCTTTGGATTGTTTTTTGCCTTGCTAACAGTCCGCAGTCAAAATGAAAAATAAGAACCTTCTGGATCCTGTCTTGATAAGGTCAGATTGTAGAATTTTTCTTTCCAGCAATTTAGCCAGGCTCTCTCCTTCCAGAATACATTTACTCAGTAATAAACATCTCTAGACAGCCAGGCTGTACAGACTGGAAACAATTAAGCCAAAATTGAGGAAAGCAGCACAGGAATAAATATTCCACTTTAATAAAATAAGACTGAAAAATTCAGGAGCAAGGGAAGTAAAAGCATTTTCAAATTGTATTAATTTGACATATTTATAAAAATCTGTGCTCCTGCAAGTACCTTATGCATTTTTTTTAATATCAAAGTACGCAAGAAATATGCTGGGTAATTACAAGCCTTTGGTGTTAGAATGCTGTGGTCAAGCACCAGGCACACACCAACATTTGGGGTACTTAATTTAAAGTCTAGTAGGAAAAACAAAGGAGTTTAGCCAATTTTCTCTAAGCTATATAAAAGGAAGCCTGCCAAGCAACAGGTTAAAAGGGTTTGCCTTACTAAATTAGAATAAGATTAAAACCCAGCTTACTCCAGAAATAAGTTAACACTTTACGCTATGAAGAAGCCTCATCTCTCAATTAGGTAAGCAGTTAAGTAAATATGTTCAGCTGTCCTAGTTTGTTAGAGACCCAGGTAAAATCCTTCTGAAACAACCCAGATTTTTCTATCATCACAAACATTTCACCAGATCCTACATTCTTTAGTTTTCCAATTTTTGCATAAATACATTTCCCACTTAGACATCACACACTTAATTGCAAATCCATCACCTGTTTACTTGCAGCAAGACAACAAAAAGCACCTGTGCCATTATTTTTAATTAAGTTATCCTCCTACACTTCCTCTGTCCAACATGCTCAAACAGTTTATACATAAATTCTAAAATAATTTAGAACTGAACCGTTACACATCGTGATTGTGACATGTCTTGGTGTGGTTTTCTCAAGAGACTAAACAAACTAGTGCAAAACTAAACTTGGTTTTATAAGGCACTATTTCAATTTGGAAAGTTCACAGCATTTTCAAGAGGAATTAATGAATGTTGCTAATAGTTGGATCTGAGTTATAAGGCATTAGGAGGACAGAGTCATGAGGAAAGGCAATATATAACCTTTAGATGGGACAATTAGAGATCAATTACCAGAGGCAGAGAAGAGCATTCAAAAGCTGCTTCTTCATTAATCAAAGATTATCTCAAATTAGAATGTTTAATTATTTGCCAAGGTTCTTTGTATATTCTTCTGCAGAAAATTAAAAAAAAAAAAAAAAAAAAAAAAAAAAAAAAAAAAAAAAAAAAAGCACCAGGGGCTTTTGGAAAACTTCTAGCTTTTTGAACACTTATTTTTAGCATGGTTTTAAAGCTAAAATACCAAATATTTTAACGAAAATAAGTCTGGTGGGATTGCTAACTATCTGGATGTCTGAGTACGTGGAGAAAATGTTTTCTAGAAATGACAGGAAAAATGAAATATTTTAATATTCTATGCACTGTAATGACTTGGGGCAGGATCCTAGGATCTAACATTAGGTTTAGATCAAACTTGTAGGCATCTGAGTTTTAGGTTCCCAAACCACTGAGCATACCCAAAATCTAGGGCAGGAGGCAGCTTCAGAACCAGGCACAGAAGGGGTGATTAGATCCAGCCTGTGAGTACCAGCATCTGCTCCCCTGCCACCACACGGAGGGCACCATCTCTGATGTCAGAGGCAGCTCTCCAAATACAAGCTGCAAAACATGCCAGGGAATTGTTCGGCGTTACCTTTCCTGGGCTAGTAGCCATCACCGGCCAAATCACCCCTTGTATTTGTGTATTCTGATGGTTTAGACGACATCTGGGAGGAGATACACTTGGATTGCAGGAAAGGCCTTTTGCAAACAGGGATTTTTGTGAAACACAAGGGGAAGAGATATTTGCTGATATCCCTTTGCAGTTTAGGTGCAAAGTACGTGGCTTGGGAGGAATAATAACTCCTATTTATAAAAGCTGCAGCACTTGGGCAAGTTCCCTCTAAAACTGCCCTGAAAGCTACTAGTTTTAGGGAGCACACCTTCACGACAACAGCATGGACAGGAGCAGGAGTGGCCGAGCTGTCCTGGGAGGGCACCACGACCATCCCAGAGTGCCGTTCCCATGCTCTTAGGGAAATGCCATCCACTGGCTGTCCATGATGTAAAGTCTGTTCAACCTGTGCTCGCCACACTCGCCATTTATCTCCTACAAGGGAGATAAATATTTGGTGGACACAACATGAGCTGTCCACAGGGGGCTGTGGGCACCTGAATACCTGCCCACGGATCTTCTTAGGAAGCGTGTCCCATCGTGACACCTGGGCAGTTATTCTGTGACAGCCAGATGTAGTCTGGGGAACCAAGCTGTTCCCAATAGGAGAGACTTTTCTTACACAATTATGTATCTTCTCATGGCCAACCTTATATTCAAGCCACAATGAACCTCTTTTATGTCTTTATTCCTTGGTAAGATATATCCTGAATGTGGATACAGACTTTCTTCTTCTCATAAATGACCACCTCTCCTTACAATGCCCCATCCTTTGTTGGCTAGGTCAAGATGACCTCAGGCATGTTCAGAGTAATTTGAAATAGGTTTGTGCACATATTGCAACCACAAAACTCTGGTAAAACTCTGCTTTTAATAGCAATGCCTCCTGAGTAATAGTTAACCCTTAGATATTCTGATTAAAACCTGCCACTGTTTTGGAGAAGGTATACTAGCAACCTGAGGCAAATGGCTCTCTGTCTCTTTCACCACATCTCTCCCCCACTGTACATTCATTAACCCGCTGTTATAACAAAGATTTGTCAAACGCTTTTGCGCAGTGATCTACTTAGTCACCACTAAAGAACATGGCAGTGATACCTGTGGCACATGACAACTCCTGCTGCTGTAGTATTTCCTGTGTAGCATACACATGGCGAGGTGTGAATTCAAGTGATGCAGAAGGGCTTCCTTCCCGCAGCGCGCTTAGCTTGAGTTCAGAGAGGAGTTCCTCCACAGATGGCCATAAGAGAAGGCAGTACAGGGGATACTGAAGTGATTCTCACTGATAAAAAAAAAAAAAAAAGAAATAAATGTAAAGGCAGATGAAGTCGAGGACATCGGGAAATCCACATGATCATTTTCAGTGGTCTAGAGGCAATCTCTATGAAGACCAGAGCTTAGGGTCCTGCAGCATTTCTTGGCAGCATCACCAGAACAAAACAAAATATTGGACCCTTTCCACACCAAACTGTAATGTGTGAAGGTGCCAAGTGTGCCATCACCTTTTTATTTAATTGTTACCTTTCCCCCCCACTTTGAATTCTTGACATTCTGCTGAATATAAGGCAAAATGATGGATAGCTAGTTGTGCTGTGTGCTTCAATTAAAAAGTCAGTTCTTGAAGCTACTTGGTCTGTTTTTTTCTTAGACTCCAGGGAAAAATGTTGTTTTCACACTTCCCACAGTTTTCTTAAATGCTTTAATTCTTACTAGTGTAAGAACGTAACAAAATGAGGTGCTATGTAAAATTGCTCAAATGTTCAGCTGGTAATACTGTATGACATAATTACCATATAGACTTTATCAGAAAGGCTGTAATCAAAATAATTGTCAATGGGATTATCACAAACATACGTGAGCATTCAATATAATAAGTAGAATATAATACCCAACGTTCCCATACTGTTCCTATTTTCCGCAGTAGGAAAGACATCCAGGTCTGAGGAAACAGGACTATGGTCATGGCGTGTCTTATACCTTATTGATTCCTGGCTGCTTTCTCTGCCCTTCACATCAGCCACTAATTGCCTTGGTGAGAGCAGATTCCAGGATGCTCAAGGTCATTGCCACTCAACCCAACTGTGCCAGAGTCTACTCCATTTGTTAATTATTTATGCCTCTTCACACTGTAAGTCACACACCCCACGGTGCCCTGCGCTTCACTCACCATTCCATAAAGCTTTATAGGTAAGATGCATCTCTCAGGTTGAAGAAAGGAGCTAAAAGGTGCAGCTCCACAATCACTTTTAGTTGGTGCAAGACTTGGCTACCGCTGGCAGGTTTCATCTCCGTATATTTAAACTGTGTTTTAATGCTCCCCTTCTTTTTTGCTAACACTGGCACTTCTATAACCAAATCATGAGCTGCAGCTATATATATTGAATTGCTGGATTAATTTTCAGCCATATATCTGCAGGGGTGCGGGAACTCATGTGGGGAAAATACAAAGAATAAATAACTAGTCTAGAGTAGAGTCATCTAGACTTCAGTTGTCCATGGCATTGCAGCCTAAATCAACCACTACACCGCCTAAGGGGGTGGCTGCTGCATTATGGGTCTCCATTTATTGAATACTCAGTTTAGCAATGCAATGCTAAGGCATGTGTAAATATCTGGCCCAATAAAGAGCAAATAAATCACAGCAGGCTGTTCAATTATCTGAAAACTGTTAAACTTCATTTTTTCAAGAAACAAATTCATGTGGTTTTATAGAAGCAAAAGCCCAGGATTCTTCATGGGTCGGTTCAGCACTGTGGCGACTCAATAGGAGTCCCAAGTGATGGGCCAAATTTAAGATACTTATAGTCCTTAGTGTTTTCTGCAGGCAAACTATATTGTTTCTTTCTCAGAATGCTGGAACTTACTTAAAAAAAACAAAACAAAACAAAACAACTCTCACATATAACATAGAAGGAATTTAAAATTATTCTATAGACTAAATGCTTATTCATTAAACACTTGATGGGTTAAATATATCCTCAGTGGAAAGAAAAAAAAAAAAAAGTATAAATTGAGTTATGTAGTAATGTCTCTGAAATCTGAAAGAGTTTCTGATGTTAGATATCACTCTGTTCCCTGACACAGACATTAATCTGTGGCAGAAGAGCCCCCTCTTAAAGCTGCCCACTGACTTCAGCCAGAATTTGAGTTAAATCCGTGAGATCCAGTGGCAAGATTTTTGTTATTATATCAGTGTGGGAAAACTGACTTGTCCTACATTTTAAGAAAGCACACAATTTACTTGTAAATTACAAAAAAAGCACACCAATTCTACCATCTATTGACATGAAAATTGCTTATTGATTCAAAGAAAGTGCTAGAAATATTTTACATAAAACTACTGTGCTAAAACTAGAGTTTATATACTGAGAACTTTTGTGGAGTCATTAGAAGGAGGAAATTAGTTTTATGATACAAAAAGGAAAAAAAGGTTTGAAAAATGTTTTGTAAAAAATTAAATGCAGAAGTCGCGGGTTTTTTTAAATAAAGCTATTGCTATTAAAGACATACAAATATTAAAAGTATATTGTTTCTTCTAGCTCATTTTAATTTATACCAAATTAACGTTACCTGTATATGAATGCAAGGGTTTTTCCTTCAGAAAACAGAATCATTTATAGCAATGTAATATAACAAATTTTATAAGAAGCAATTCAAGAGTAAAGCATAATGCAGGCATTGTGGCTACGCTGCTGTACCACAGAGGCAGCTCTCAACTGTTTAATCATTTCTATTCTCTGCACTACAAAAATGTAAGAGAGGCCAAGAGAGCCAGGAGGGAGCTGGTACTTGTGCACCAGCACCAGCTTTCCGTTACTGGTGCTGATGGGAATGAGCACCCTGCCTTGACTTCACAAAGTTATTTCTTAGGAATATTCACACACTTAAAATTAAACCTTCCCTTAAGGGTGGCTAGATCAAAGGCAGAGGTGCCCCCAGTATCATCCCTTCCCCGTTCTGCTGGTGGAAAACTTGTATTTCTGGTTCAGCAAAACACTCAAGCAGGCAGGTTGACTCATCTACATTACTGTAAATCAACATAAACACACAGAGGTTTACAGTGAAGTACGTGCACAATTGCTTTGCTGAAACTAGACCTATATCAATGAGGTTGCTTCTTGTCACTATTAATCCTGGTTTATCATACATGAAGACTTCAGTGCCAAAAGTGTGTCCAAGACAGAGCTGGAAGGACATTTGAGAACATTTGGG